GGTGCTTGATGGGTACTGGAGCGATGATATCCCAAGTGCGAACAGTAGTTCTTGAGACGATGGGCCAGAATGAATAGTATAGTTCCTACCAGGTTGGGCACGACTGAATGGCTTTATACTGTGCTTTAACTCAAACATATACCATTGGTATTCAACCCAGATTCCCAGTATTGTGAGCTTCGCATATGACACGTGCTTCTTCGTCTCGCACCTTCGGTAACCTTCGGTGGACCTGGCCCAGAGAGTACATTGACCTTCACCTGGTCCCCTATCTTCCCACATTCACCTCGCATCTGCTGCGCCGTCCTCCGTACAATCCTGGCCAAAGCAAAATCCGCCTAGTAGCCCACACGTGTCTCCCGTCTCAGACTTGATATGCCCAAAACGGAGACTTGAGTTGGAGTCGGCCTTCTCTGAAAACTTTAAGGACGTGCGATAATTGTACAGGATATCTGAGAATTTGTACAGCGCGGAAGTGCCGGGAGAGGAGCATCTAGTACCCCTCTTGTGCAATCATGTCTTCGAACAAGTCAGCCTGCTAAGTCTATATCGCTTCGCACTTCAACAAAGACATAGCTTACCAGCAATGTTCAGATAGAATGCAATGGCATTGAAGCTGGAACCGAGTCAGTCACCACATTCCGGCAACGTGATCAACTAGTGACTCACTTCCTCTTATTCCCCGTCATCTCCCAAACGAGCCACCTCAACCGATTCGTCCAATTAATCAAGTCCAAGTGACTCACATCAATCAGCGTCCCCTTATAGGTTCCCCAACGAGAGCTTGCTACACTGACTAAACCATCGTTGGGTCCTTCCTCTGCCTCCACAATCCGGTGCGGCTGTCTAAAGGCAGACCAAAGGGGCGGCGTCGCCATAGCGCCGTAGGAGAAATATCTCACCCCCTCTCGATCCGGCGTCTTCGGATTGAAGTCTTTCATCATATACCGCCTTGTCAGCTGACTGAATGCCCCAGTCCCTATCCTCATCAACTGCAGCGCTCGATACATTCTGGGTAGATTTTCGGGCCCAATTTGATCGAACACATAGTCTGCGAACGCAGAACCGCGGTGCGGGCTCGCAACCGTAGTCAAGCTTAGCACCTTTACATTTGGCGGTTTGAGTCGACTGATCATGTATCGTGCGTCCAATCCTCCCATGCTGTGCGCAACGATATTGACGCTCTTGCCATGAGCCTTTCTCTCGATATCATGGCTTAGTTTGGCCGCACGCTCTTCTATTGACGCGGACGGGGGGACCGAGGTGAGGATCACTTCGATGTTATTGGCTTTGAGGGCTTCGGTGATGCCACGCCAGTAGTGGACACCTGGAAGGAGCTTGCCGACTAGGTGAAGCTCGTCGAAGCCGAGAAGGCCATGAGCGAGGACGATGGGATTCTGGGGGGATTCTGTAGAGGCTTAGACAGGGTTTGGCAGGTAATGCGCTGGGGACACACGGTATTTGGCGCGGATGCTGGCATAATCGTCCTTTATTGTGGGGCCAAGGTCTGAGACTCGAGGGTCTTGGGAATCATGGCGCAGAGCCGACACGGTGAAATGTCGAATGGTGACTGCAGAGAACAGACGGCTTGAACAGCATCTTCTTGTGGTCAAGGAGATTGAGTGTGCCATCGGACGGTGGAAGACAGAGCTCAATGCTGCGGCCTACACACCATAATGTCTTGCTCCATTGTCGGCCCTCACGAGTCGGCCTCTTTGCCGCGATGTAGAAGTCTAGCGGTTGATCGAAGTGAAGGAAGTATGATCCGGAGCCTTACGGCGGACGACGGCTGACACTACGACAAAACCAAAAAAAAATTCTCTTTTCGTTTTTTTCTTTGCGATTTCTAGTAAATCTCTCCAAAATATTCTTTTTAGAATATTCTCAACTCTTCGAGAGGTACTTTTTGAGGCACTCTTTAGGGGCTACTCTCCGGGGTACTCTGCCAGGTACTCTGCGGGGTATTCGTCCGGGTACTCTTCGAGGTACTCTCCGGGGTACTCTCATTACGATTAAATATTTTATGAAGTTCTTCGCAAAAAAAAAAAAAAGGGAAAAAAAAAGAATTCGCGGGAAGTTCCGTGGAAAGTCCCGTAATTTTTTTTTTTTTTTTTGCGAAGAAATTCATAAAATATTCGATCGTAGTGTTAGTTATTATCCGTCGTAAGTACCCGGAAGAGTACCCGGAAAAGTACCCGGAAGAGTACCCGAAAGAGTACCCGAGAGAGTACCCCGGAGAGTACCGCGAAGAGTACCCCGGAGAGTACCCCAGAGAGTAGCCCCTAAAGAGTGCCTCAAAAAGTACCTCTCGAAGAGTTGAGAACTAGAAATCGCGAAGAAGAAAACGAAAAGAGAATTCTTTTTTGGTTTTGTCGTAGTGTCAGCCGTCGTCCGCCGTAAGCCTGCTCCGGATGGGACGAGAATATTTACCGACTATCAGCCGAAAATCTTCTATAAATTTACCGCAACTCCTTGCATGACCTTTTCAACTTTGTTTTTCAATCGTCAGGGCTGGATGCGACATCATGCCGCTCCAAGAAGGTAAGTCATGGGTAATCATGTAGCAAGTCCTAAGAGAAGGCAGGGGCTGCACCCTTCCGCAAGCGTACATTCCACAAACAATGCTGACACTAGTTTAAACGGTTGCAAGCATTTCATTGTGTTTTGTTTGGTCTCACTCAATCTGCCATGCTCCTCTTCCTGATTCAGATAGCTCTTCTCTTTGTCATGTCTTTACTTCATGGCTGCTTGTGTCCAAGACCGCGTCTCCAAATTCGAGTTCCTCGTTCTTCTTTCCTAGATTCCATAGATCCTTCGCTTCACTACTTTGGCCATGGCGTTCCCAGCAGCAGAGGGTCCAGATACAGAGGCTGTCGTTGAGAAGACCTCGCGACAACCACCTTCTGCTCCAACATGGCATTCGATCAAGCCAGATGGCGTCTCGTCCGAGTTCGTCGACGCCCCTGAGAGACCTCTGAGCGAGACAGAAAACATGACGCCCGGATCAGAGAAAGCACATTCTCGCAAATCGAAGAAGTCAAACGAATCGAATGTTTCATTTACTTCTACGATCGAGTACGATCAGACGCCTTTCGATCAATACATTCATCAAGTCAAGGAGCTGTGTCACCTCTTATGGCCGCCCTTGCCCAAAATTTCACAAGATGTCAAAACTTCCCGCGTCGAGCGTCTGCTAGCTAACAATCGTGTGGCTGGGGTTTTACTGCCAAAAAGGAGTCGCTCCGCACGAGCTCCTGCTCCGCCCAAAGAGTTCCTGATTGAGCGACTACGCGGCGGAGGCTTCAATCGAGTCATCGGTATAACCGCCAAGCATTCGCCTGATGAAGAACCTGTGCGCCTCATATTAAGAGTGCCTCGATTTGATGACACTCGGCCCGATCGGGAAGTCGCTGTACTACATTTCATTCGTCATTATACACAAATACCAGTACCGGAGGTCAAATACGTCGATTTGACCAGCGACAACCCATTGAAGCAGTGTTACGTCATCCATAATCGCATTCCCGGATGTGACCTTCAGAACAATACCGGTCCTACATTCTATCTCAGTCTGAACCATGAGCAAAAGTGCACGTTTGCGAAAGAGTTCGCTCTGCTATTGCTCGAGTTACATGATATCACGCACCCGTTTCCTGGCCTCATAGAAGTTTCGGCGGACAGTGATAACGATCGGAGCTTTACTGTTCGTCCCTTCGAACTCGAGACGGTTTCTGGCTACGAGCGAGAGCTGGACTTGACCACTAAGCTTCCTTTCTTCCAAGTTCGTCCATTCGTGAAGGATTGGAAGCGGTCTGAGAATCCGCCTCGCGAACAATGCACATACTATTTCATGATTGCACAATTTGGTCGGTGGAAAGCTCTGGAGTTGCGTTCCGACCCAGCGACCATCAGCTGGTCGAAGAGTTATGACCGCCTTGTCACGATGGCACTTCAGATGGACACTTTTGGCTTCTTGGGTAAAGATGAGAATTGTATATGTCACCTCGATCTCTTAGGGGCACCGCGCAACATCATGGTAGACATCAAATCGGACGGCTCTATGAGCATTACCGGCATTCTCGATTGGGACAGCGCGGTTTTTGCGCCCAGGTTCGCCGGCTGTGCGCCACCTATGTGGCTATGGGCCTGGGATGATATCAAAGAGGACGAAAAACACGCTAATGATACTCCATCGAATCCTGAAGATCGAGAGATCAAGAGAATCTTCGAGGAGACAGTCGGAGACTGGTTTCTGTCGTACGCGTACAAGCCGGAATACCGTCTGGCTAGAGAATTGTTTCGATTCGCAAAATCTGGCATAACATCGAGCACAGAAACGCAAGAGGTTGAGGAGCTTTTGAAGGAGTGGGCCGCGATATACGAATCTAGGGTAGCAGATGCAGAGGAGGAAGCCACAAACACGGAGGATGCGGCTTCAGAAAAAGCCGCAGAGGGCGAGGTCGACGGTTTAACAGAAAAAGGGCTTCTTAGCGATGAGAGGACCTCTTTTGTGTGAGCGTCGGAGAGATCTACGTGCTTAGCTTGCTCATCTAAATTGTCTCCTTTTCCCAAACATTCTGCAGACGGCTCATTGAAGATCAGAGGCACGTCAATAAAGCTGGCGTACGTACTCGTTTCCTTTGATATGCTGTTCCGCACAGCGTCTGGTCCTTGCCAATGAACCATTTGCTCGTGAAGCTTCACGCAAACGGCTATATTCATGCAAACAGTGCTGCACTTTGATTGTTCTTCGCTCTTTATTGGGTCTTCTTTGACGTGGGAAACGATGTAGTATTTTGAGGCCTCCTTTCCTTCGTGCCCAGACGTTCGACTCCTGCATAGTCTATACTCGCCTCTATCCCTCACGATCTGCCCCTAACACGCTGTCCATTGAAGGACATTGATCATCGTCCTCGTTCCACTGTTCGTCCCCAACTGCTACCCTCTCTTTCCATCCAGTACACTCCAATTTGAGTTCTAAGCTCTTCCACTCATACACTATGCCGAGCATAGCCAAGACCACAACCAAGCATCATTGCCCCAAGAAAGGCAGAGGCCAAGGCAACTGCCGGCCAGGCAAGGGATACTGTCTCGAACACCAAATGAAATGCCCACTCGGGCATAAAAAGGCGTACCTCAAAACAGAGCCATGTCCGCAATGCGACGGTGATACTACCGTAAGTTCTACGGCCGCTCGACATGGTTGGAAATATCCGCTGATCGAATTTCTCTAGCACGATGATAGAAGAGAAGCCCAGACGTATTCTCAGCGGAGAGTCGCCGAAGTCGCGAACTCCTCTCGCATGACAGACAAGGGGAAAGGCAAACGAGGTAAATACGTATGAGTCTCTGAGAGCGTTTGGTCAAGGGAGCCATCGAAGAACGGCCTCTCAACCTCCGGCTGAATGGTCTGTAAGACAAAAAGTCGTCAGACCACGAGTACCTGCACAGGCTGCACATGTTTTGCGTCAGAGCTTTGTTTGTATGGATTTTTTGCGTTGTTGGATACGGAGTTTACGGCAATTCGGAACGCATTTGTTGCTTTATTGCCTTTGAATGTTGGAGTATTTTTGGTCTATTCTGTTCGCAGGATGTCATCGTTTGTTAGTAATTCCCGTCACGAGTTTTGGAACAATCTTTCTTGCTTTTTGAGCTCTTTCTATCAACTATTCCTTTGAACTTGATGGCGTCGTGGATGTGCTTGTCAAGATTATACGATCTTTTAGCAAGTGTGCTCTCGAAGCTATGCTTGACGACGAGTGAATATTTTTTTGGGAGGAAAAAGTGGACCGAGTGAGAAATACTGACGAAAGCCGCTGTTAAATCGGAAACAAGTAAAACTGCTGCCACAAAAGGGTGAGGTGCGCTTCGGGTCTGGCTAGTAATGGATGATGCTTTGGGGAGAGCTGCGTGAATGGCGCAAGTGCTTATCGGCTGACAGTATCAAGGTGATGGGAATCCATGGCTTGGTATGATCGAGGGTGATGCTGAGGTAGTGTTTGAACCTCGATGTACTTGCTTGAGCTGGGCTATTCTCAGTCTTCTCGGCGCGAGATGCTTGAACAGACATATCGGGATCTCCTTCTGCTAGATCTGCATGCTTAAATATCAGAACCATAGCAAACAGACAATTAAAATACATCTTTCAAGTCATTAATCCCCTTACTAATGACACCACCCACACCACCATCATCACCTCCTCCTCCTCCTCCTTTAATGGGACCACCCAACCCATTCAGCGCGTCCTGCGCCGCAAAAACATTTCCCCTATCAAAATTATCCACCAATACTCCCACCGGCGCCCGTCCATACAACCCTTCACAAATCCCCACCTGCGCCCCAATACTTCCCACTCCCGTGGCCGCATTAGTCGTATCATCCGCGCTATCATCCGGTATATCAACGCTCCCAATGCTTAAGTCCAGGAAATGATTCACGATATACATTCGCCCGTCAGCGGTAGCACCCTTCGGGCGGTCAAGAGTGCATTCGGCAAATTTCGGGTCTGTGACGTCGAAGGGAGTCTCGAAGAAGTAGGTGAACTCGTCGAGGATGTAATGTACTGAGGGCGCGGCGCCGGTGTCGAGGAAGGCAATGAGGCGGGTGTTGTTGCCGATCAGTTCGTTGAGAGTTGGCCAGGCCGAGAGGCCGAGAGGGGAAGTGGGTGGCGTGTAAGTGTATTTATTGAGGTTGCTGATTGTGAATGCTGTATCGAACAGACTTATGTTGACGTTGTCCCCGTTTGTGAGGAGGAGTGTGACGACCTCGTTTGGGTTAGCGTCGAGCCATATTTTGAGGTCTGTGAGATAGTCGGAGAGGGGGCCGGCATCCTTTTCCATGCAGGTGGTGTGGCAGAGATTCAGACTCCCAGAGCCATCTAGGTGGGACTGGGCTTGGAGAAAGCGAATACCGGCGTCGAGTTGCGCTGTAATGTTCACCTCTTGGTTGTCTGTGGGCATGGTGCCGACGAAGGCTGAATCATGGGTGCCGATCTGGGTTATGTTTGAGTATTGGCGAGAGCACAGCTCCGCATGGCCGTTGCACAGCGCCTGCGCGTATGCAGAGAGAGGGAACAGGCTGAAGATAAAGCTAATGGGACTAAGAGGATAGCGCATTTTGAAGAAGAAGAGAAGAGAGAATGGAAAATGGAAAATGATGGGGGTTTTCTGAACAGAACGCAAATATAAAGAGAGAGATTGTCTCTTACCGCAAGCTTTACATCGAAACAATAACACGTGCGCCACCCATCTTTGTAGTGGGCGCATCGCAGACGAATAGCGAAAGATATGACCAATTGACTGCAAAATAGCTTTCCAATTGACGAACGATACCCGTCGTTGTTCCCCAGTATGGCATCACCGTATCTGGAGTCTCTCGGGGTGTCTATTGGATGACATCCATTGAATATATTCGGGACAAGGGGTTGGCATGTCTTAAAAGGAAGACTTGAGAGGCGAGGCAGTCATACTGGTGGTCTTTTGATTCGGGTTGGCGTCAAGTGAAACAATAAGGGCAACGATGCAGGTGGGCTCCTCGGATGATGCAGCACTGCAGATCAGCGCGCTTATTCTTATTGGGTCCTGACCTGAACGGCGAACGCAGCTAAACTCGCTTAGCCGCCCATGCAATTTCACTTGTCGCTACATTCGAGGCCGTATATTGCGATGTACGAGATCGCCATAAGAACTAGCTGTCAACAGTACAACCCCACGGCCGCTCGGCCGAGAGCTTGGACGTCAAGTGGCATATCAGTAGTATTGGTCCTATAAGAGTCGCCTTCCTCTCAGTATATTCAATAATAGACTCCGCAAATGGCAGCCATGTCTGACTTCGCCCTCTCTCCTGCTACCCTTCCCGATCTACCTGGCATCGCCAAGGTCTCCACAGCCGCCATGATCGAAAGCCGGCACACAATGTCCTACTGGATGTTTCCGCCGGACAACGAGAACGCGATCTACGAATGGCGGCTAAACGGTATAACAAATACGTTCAACAATATTTCATACTGTATCTACACCAAACTCGTCGATACTAAGGTGGGCAAAATCGTAGCATTCGCGCTGTGGGAGGCGCCTCACCCACCCGAGACAGAGGAGGAGAAAGCCAAGAAAGAGCAAGAGAAGAAAGAGAACGGTGACAAAGATGACAAGCTGCCGAAAGGTACCAAAGCTCAACTTTTGCACGACTTCGATGCCGAGACCGGTAAGTTTTACTCTCCAAGGCAATTTTTCCCCATTCATGCTGTTCTATGAGTCGTCGGACATGTCTCAAGGGTTCTCTGCTCCTAAGACATGTCTTGCGAGTCAAACTTGCTCCTGAAAGTAATGCTGACTCCAAAATCTTCAAGAGAGGATGAGGGCGAAATATGTCGACAGGGAGAAAGACTACAGTGAGTGGCATTTTCTAAGTCTCTGGAATCAGACAAGATGACTGTGTATGCTCAAGTCTTGAGAGCTATTGCTACTCTCCCAGAATACCAAGGCAAAGGCTGCGCATCAAAGTTGCTTCAATCCGGGCTAAAGAAGATCGACGCCGAAGGCGCCAAGACTTGGCTTGAGGCAACCCCACAAGGGCAATCCTTGTACGCAAAATTTGGCTGGAAAGTTGTCGATGAGATCATTTTTGATCTCGAGAAATATGGCTGTGGTGAATGGGTGCAAAGAACCACGGTCATGAACAGGAAAGCGCAAATGTAGTGGGTCAAAGCCACGAAATGATTCTTCTCACGTTCTTATTTTCGTCTTGTTGTACAGCGCAAGCTCTGTCAATCCATGAGAAAGGGTGAGATTCAAGGTTTGAGCTTTCACAGTTCAGATAGATCAGTGTGCAGCCGTGCACGTTATGAGAGTCAAGAGTCATTTTATTGGGTGAAATCATGGCTCAATTCAGGCGAGCAAATGGCTTGAGTAAGCCTTGCTATTTTATGAAAAACTTTTTTTGAGCAATTTTGAGTACTTCGTCCGAGCACGCAAGGTAGAAGCCAAAGCTTCCGATTAACAAACAGGTATTGCGGCTTTCTCTGTTCCCGCCTGTTTCATTTGTTCCCCAACATATTTGATTCTTGGACTTCTCCCTTTCTGTCTGTCGCTTCAGGAAGTATAAAGGTAAGGGCTCTAGCTATCTGATTTGAAGCCGGCTACAGTGAAGTGAAAGGGTATGATAGTTACTTGTTATCGTGACGAAGATTCTAGGGATGGAGGTTCAGAAGATTAGCTGTCATCCGAATACGGTGTCTCGAGTCTCGAAGCACAAATGAGAAGATGGAAAAAGCAGATGTGGCCACCGTCTGATTCCAAGCTCTCATGGAGGAAGCAAGCTTGGAAACATCAGTAATGGCACGTTGATCTTGGCTGGCAAAGATGGCCAGCTGTCGGGAACTCGAGACAGCTGGGGGTTCTTCCTATCAAATAAACATGCAGCCGACTAAAAATAGCACGATTGCGCTGATCAAGTACCGCGCAAACCATTTGGGCTGGAGATCGGGACGGACGTACCTAGATTTTATGTGACAAAACCGGCCAAGTCGTCATATCCGAGGGCAGGCTGGTAGTAAGCATTCATAAAGATGGGGATCTAGAGGGCAGCGTTCCGATGACACGAGGCAACCGGTATAACCCCATCCCAACCAGACTTTCTGTTCGGCAGTTAGCTGGGTTGATATTAACCAGAACAAGGCAAAGAAGTATGCGGAACCAGCCATCAATTCTGAATCATCCAAGGTCTCTATAAGGGGATTCAGAGAAACACCAACCAATGTGCTGCTTAATAGAGCACAGAAATGTCATCAGGATCGCACAACAAACAGAACGTTCGAAGGTGCAAAGCCTACCAGAGTGTGTGTCCCAAGCCCCCCATCAACGATGGCTGACCTTGCATGACAGGGCACCGTGTGATCCACCCACTCTCAGAGGACATTGCGGCAGTCTAGCGGAATAAGTCGTTCCATTCCTCATGCTAGTATTCAGTATTCGAAGCGGGTGGCTGTTGAGGGTTTCTGGGAAGGTCACAGAGGGTTGTCAGCCAGTGCAATACACAGTGGTGTATCTGATAGCTGAGGAAATAGAGGGCGGCATGATCGTCAGATACACAGCCGATTGGCCAATGGCCGAGAGCAAAGAGGGAACGTGAATTTCAAGCCCGACACCTTGCAGGTCCCTAATTTTGCAAGTTACCAAAGTGGTAGGGATGCTGCGACTGGTGGGCATCAGGGCTTGCTTGATATTGGGCCCGGTGGGCACGAATGAATATATGAGGAAGATGGCTGTTGTCGTGAGACGTTGAGGAGCAGAAGCCGTGCCTGCAATACTTCTCTGTGTGAAGCACGGGAGGAAGACAGAGTCGCGAAAGAGAGGACTGTGATGACAAACAAGGACAGAGGGCAAGGGAGGCCGACGTGCCTGATTCCTGCGCAAGCTTTGGTATACTAAACGCTTCCGCCAGTCATTCATGTTGTGGTCTCCTGATACCTCCTCGCAATTGCTGCGAGGGCATTGAGGAATGCCTGTCTGGTGTATGCTGAGTCCTGGACGGGAGGCGTTTTTCGAGCATTGGCTGGTGCTCGCAGAGGGCTCTTGAAGGAGGCAGCAGACTTGCTAAGGAGAAGAGAGGAAGACACAAGAGCTGCTGCAGTCGAGAAAGGAGAAGACAACGGACTTGGTCACTAGACGCGTGGAGGTGTAAAGGGTCAGAGGGCTGCTGTTTGTTGTGTGTGAAGGAAATTGAAAAGGGATCAAAGGTAAGCAAGCTGTTATGGGAGGCACGAGCTACGTTCTATGCTAATTTTCCATTCCCCTTGGCATTGTTGAGAGCCAGACCTAAGACGGCAGTCGCGACCTGATCCTGGTATGTGAATTTCTATGCTGATGCCTTTTGTCTACATGAAATGCTACTCTGTAGAATGATCGCTACGAACTGTACTACCGTCACCTGCCAATTTGGAACGAGGAAAATTTTGAAGATAAAAGGGAACACTCTCTACGAGGAAGCAGGAGCTCTTACCCCTTTTCCCGGCCACTACTTGGCGAAAAGCATATCATATCTGATGCAGAACCTAGAACATCCGCCTGCAAGTTTAAGGCAGACTTGAAGCTCCTAGAAAGTGCGTCCAGCCATCGCCTCTATTCACCTCTTTCAAGGTGCGAGATATAGACCAGCTTTGGGTCGAGTAGCTGTGTGGCTACGTGGTTGGACTCGAAATCAATGAGAATTCTTATTGACTCATTGGCCTCGAAGATGCTATTTTTGGGTTCTTAGAACCATCAAAATCGTCGGTAGAGATAAGTGTGCTCATATGATTCCCCGGAGTGAACAAATGCGGAACTGCAGCATTTGGTTTTTGTATAAAAGTGTGCCTTTCCCGTTCCAGGTCTTGACATTAGCAGCTTAAGGCATTCACAAAGTCCATACTTCTCCCCTCAGGTCCTCATCAAGTACAGGCATTGAAGGGCGTCTCCACCGCTCTGACTCCACTACAGAAGACTATGTACTTACGTCGTCTGAACCTTGTATCACCAGAGAAATCGAATTTACAAATAGACCAAATACAGGAGGTTTCAACATGCATGTTGCGGGTCAATTTCCAACTCGAGCCCTAGTCTATGAAAACGCATGGACGCCCTTCTCCCAATCAAACTCGTTCTGGCTTCAGCTTGCTCCATTCACATGTATCTACGAATTTGCATCTGTCTCGCACCTCAAAGTAATGTCTAGCAGCCTCGAATACGCTCAGATTTGGAAGGCCATGCTCTGGAACCCTCGAGTACCAAGGGTTTGCAACCCCCATTTCCCAGCCGTCGGGCTTTTCTCAGAGCGGTATATCTGAATCACAAAATCCACGAGGTCGACTCCAATGCTAATTCGCACTGAAGAAGGACTGTAAGGTATTGTGTTATCCTTGGGTCGCCGGTTTGGTCCCGGCTCGAAGGAATTAATTTCCTAAATCCCTTTATTGATTTGTCGTCTAATGACTGCGTGAAAGAGGTTTAACTTATCGTTATCACAAATTTGCCCGTTTGGCTTCGTTGGATTGGCAAAGAACAGTAGTACCACATAGGCTTATAGTTGGATTGAAGCTGCAACTGGATCTTAAGCCAATCCAATTATGCTTTCAAGTGAAAGGAAGCCTGCCTTGGTGGTTTCCACATACAATATTCAGGAGTCAGGGAGTGAAAAGGGGTGATAATGAGTAGAATACTAGAAATAATGAGGAGATGGCGATACGTGGGTCACCCATAGCCCTAACCCTGGGTCTAATCCAAACATACATACCTTAGGCGCCTTCTCCGTCAGAGCCTCCACGCCTACTTTTGCTTGCTCAATGGCCTGATGCTATATGACTATCGGCAACCCCCGATTTAAGCGTAGATCCAATCGATTCTTGGACAGATACATATACTCTTCCCCCTTCGTCGAGATACAGATGTTGCGAGGCAAGGTCTATAACATGTGTGTTCTAAAGTTTGGAGACCCTACGATACTCTGTACTATGGGACAAGCTGTGTTTGTCTGCCTGTGCCAAGTGCTTCTTGTCATCACTACTTAGTCTGATGGGCCAGATCCGCTCAGAGACCATCAACCCCACCTGAGATGTTCTGCATGCATACACGCGCTGCCGTTGCCTTGCGATCGACATCATATTCAGCCGCACCATACGATTCGCACACTGAATGCTGCCTAGATCTGGCTACCAGCTTCGCTTGAGTCTTTTACTTACCCTTCCCATCGCATCTCTGACCTCGGGATCCGCCCTGATGGTGTTGTTCACTAGCCACTCCTTCACTCTTCCCCTCAACTCCTTTGTGCCCTGCTCGTCGCCCGCAAAAGGCGCCATATCCATCGCCAGCAATCTACTGGATTCGATCTCACTGGCCTTAGCGGTTCCCTCGAGTCTCACTAATTGCTGCAGGTCGAGTTGAGAGGTAGTCGCCGCAGGGGTAGGTTTTCCTTGTGGAAAGAGGTTTCCCAGCTGCGAGAAGGCGATGAAGAGTGTGAATGTTGTCTTGCGGGCTAGCGCGAGGAGCTGAAAGGGTAGCAGTGGTGGGTGAAGTGTCAGTTTGCTGAGTATAGGGTTGAAAACTTTGGTGAGTAACGGCGAGGGGTAGGGGCGTGTGATGGTGTGATACTCGAGTAGAAAAAGACCTGCGAAGGTCAAGTATCGCCAGAAGCGTCCCCATTGGAGATAATTTGTGAGGCTCAAGAGGGCCATCATGAGGGTTGAGCCGGCGTAGAGGGGTAGGGAGGATGTCTGTATGCCGGTGGCCAAGTAATCGCGTATTGTTTTGCAATGCTGCCATTTCAGCATATCGGGACCGAAGCGCTCATAGGCAAAGCGTTTGATAGGGTCAGATAGGGTGTCTTGGGCGGTTTTGAGATTGACGAAATTGGATTCGGCAGCTGCATGTCGGATTAGGTCGTCCGTGGGGACTTTATCCGGATGCTGGAGAGCAGCTAGTCTCCTAAATCTCGACTTTATCTGTTTTTCTTCGACTCCTGGAGCAAGGCCAAGATCCTGGTAGAAATCCCCACTCTGTTGTATTATATAGTCCGCTTCATAAAGGGTGTATAGCAGGTAAACGATAATGACTGTCATGTGTATGCGCCGTCTGTGTTTCACGTATCTAGGACTCCCTGGTTGCGGCTTAGGATCACCGGCGCGGATTGTGATGCCATAGTAAATCGATTGGAGCCACCCTGTCACGAGCTGTAGATTTCCGTGTTAGTAGAGCACAACCTTGAGACATGCATATATATGCAGGCACGCTTGAAACCAGCTTTCTAAGGTGAAAGGTACATACATTGGGCAAGAATGCCCATCCAGCGTAGGAGAGAACTGCTGTTGACGACATGCTAAACGAATTCTTTCTGTACAGAACATGTTCGAAAGACCACAAGGTAAGGAAAATGTTGGTGAAGACAGGTGTTGAAACACTTGCGCCTATTTATGCGGCTCGGCAGATCGCCCGGGATGTCGCGTGGACTTTTAGCCGATGGAGCTAGCCGAAAGTCTAAATCTCGAGCTTTTCGGGAAAAAGTACGTGGGGACTTGACGATATCATCCACGCCAATTGACAATCGAGGAAGTATGTCATTGGAGATCGACAGCTCGCGGCTTGAGCGCAAGAAGCAGGGAAAGTCGAAGGATAAGGATGTCGAGAAGAGAGAGAAAAAGCGCAAGCGGGATGCTGTAGACGAGGTCGATTTTGGGATGGCCTCGCCCACAAAGAAGCACAGGTCAAATCAACAGCCCAAATCACATATAGCGCAGTCCAAACCCGACATTCCCTCTCAGACAGAGCCAATATCTCCGTTCTACCAGCAAGTATCCTCTCTGTACCTACCACTACCACCAATCTCTCAAAAGCATGCTTTACAAGGCATTTGTGCCGAGCATATCTCTCCACTCATCCTCACATACTACCCGCCTTTGCATGGGGTCATCGTATCTTATTCGAATGCGCGACTCTCCACCGATCCTCAGAGCGAAGCGTCCAATCCAGCTTATGCACGAGCGATCGACGAGTACGCGTCCAGCTTCGTATGGCTTACTGCGGACTTCCTCATTTTCAAGCCTCGGAAGAGTAGCGTGATAGAGGGCTATGTCAACCTCCAGAGTGAGAGCACTATTGGGCTTCTTTGTTTAAACTTCTTCAATGCAAGCATTGAGAGAAGGAGATTGCCAAGGGAGTGGAAATGGATACCCGGTGGGATGACGGCCCCAAGAAAGAGAAAATTGAAGCAAGCTACGAAGGACACCATGTCGGACTCGGACGGATCAGAGGCGGACGAGGACGATGCGGCTGGGCAGACTTTGCAAGACGCGGAAGGCTATTTTCAAGATCAGGCAGGTAAAAAGATTGAGGGACTGCTAAAATTCCGGGTCAAGGACGTGGACACGTCGAAGAGCATGGATCGCGAGACTGGTTTTGTGAGCATTGAGGGCACCATGCTGAGCGAGGACGAGGAAAGGCAGTTGCAGGAACAGGAGAGACTGAGGATACCAAATGTGAAAAGGAAACAATTGGGCTGGCAAAATGAGCCCTCGAACTCTATGACAGGTGCAATTGTGAATGGCTCTGATGGTGCAATGGATGTAGATGATTCGCCGAATGCGAAACATAGAGCCAGATATTAAGAATGCCTTTTTGCTTCTAGAGCTATCTATAAATTAAGATTCGCCATAGTCTCTATAACATGAATCTAAGGTTTCATGCCTTCCCTTGGTCAATCATACCGCGCAGGGAATGATTTGCTCACTGCTCTGGTCAATGGCTCGCTAAGCGAGAGTATGATATAAATTGCGGCCCCCGCGTCTCAAGTCAACGCGCTTTCCCCCTCACTTCCACCAACACCCCACATCTAAAACATTGAATCCTGGGACCTGTAGCCATGAGACTTCAGCTAACGGTTCAAAGGCACGGCTTGCCACCAGTACAAGTGTTGTGGACCTTGGCATCAGCAGTCCGACCTCCCCTTCTTGCAGCGGGTAACAGTATCACGATCTCGCAGTTTCTGGAACAGGTCAACGAAGTCATACCTCTTGAGTCCGAGGATTGGGGCCTTGAGGATTACTCGGTAGAAGTGCGCGGCTTCGAATGTCTGCACTTTTCCGAAATCAACCAAGTTCTGAAGGAGGACGATGAGGTCTGGTGGGTAACTCAGCTTAGGCTTCTTTTTCATAAATTCATTCAGGTGATGCTGAATTCTTCACAGCATACGGCCTCTACAGACTCAAGATCTACGCTTTCGGAAAATATCTGGACGACACCAGATCGCCGCAGATGGCAAGCACTTGGTCGACGGTGTGGCATTTGGTCGCCCTTTTCTACGACGAGCAGACAGACCGGGCATAAAAATACCTCCGAGGAAGAGAAGACGGATTACATATGATGAGGAAGAAGGTTTCGACACGGATGAACCAAATAACGATCGGCGAGTCATCGTCAGGGCTGGCTTTGACGATGCCGACGAAGCTACGGGGGGAGACGAGAGTGACGATGAAGAGGACTTTGCGCCCGACGATGAGGAAGAGGAGGATCTGGGTGCCGAGCTAGAAGATTTACAAAAGGACCTTAGTGCTGGTACGGATGCAGAACAGGGACTAAGTGTGGACAATGTTCAGCCACAACGGACTACTAGGTCTCGAAGATCGCCCAAAGGTTTAGGCATGCTACAATTGTTGGATGACAACGGACGACCGTATGCTGGACAATACAGTAATCCTCTACTGGATTTTTACGGACAGGATGGGGCTCCAAGCAGCCAGTCTGAAATCAGAGTCAGGAAGCGCGGTACCGCAGACTCGACTCAGAGCTCTTCCGAGAACATTAGAAGCATCCTTCGGGATTCATCAGCAAGCCCCCAACGTGTGAGCAGGCGGGACTCGGCCGGCAGTAATAGAAGTGTGCGTTTCGAAAACGCCGAGTCTGCAACGCCCGCAACCATTCAAGAATCGCAAGATTCAGAGGACCCGGACGATGGCGATTTTGAGCTTGGCGAGGTGGACGAATCTGATAAAGAGAATGCTGAGCCACAGGTTGAAGAGACTGAATCCAGCGATGTATGTGGCGTCCTTGTAAAAGCTGTATTACTTGCAAGACATGTTCATTTCACGGTTTACTGTTTGCGCTGATGGCATTTTCGCTAACTAGTGGCTAGAGTTTCTTTGAAGGATCACAATCGAGCTCCTCGACGTCTTCGGATGATCAAATATCTGACGACGATACTTCCTCGTCTGGATCATCCTCTAGTGGCTCGAGCTCGGATTCAGAACCAGAGCAGCAGCCAAGCAAAGATATATCTCACAAGTCCGAAACGTCTGAAACATCGTCTTCAGGATCATCATCCTCCAGCAGCAGCGACTCCGAGCCTGAACCGCCAAAGGCTGGCCAGAAGCGGAAGTGGGCAGTCCGCAATGTCAAATTGAAAACGCCTGCAGGTGAGGCGCCGCCTGTGCTCACAAACTCGGCTCCATCCACGATACCACCTGGCAATGGGAGTAGTTTGACTCGTAGCCGTAATAAGCGGAGAAAGGAGAGTAAGAGGCTGACTTTCATCAAGAGCAAGGGCATGCTCCCAGCTACCGCCACTAAAGCTGATCTATACAAATTCGAGGAGGAGACTACCCATCCAGAAATGCAGGAAATGATAGCTGTTGGAGGAGTTCGCGCTGCTCTTGAGGCTAAGAGACAGGACTTAATGACTTCGATCGCTGCTGGTGGCATCGACGTCAGTCTTGATCCGAGCTTGCAGGAAAAGGGTGCTGATATGGTTGAGGATCAACTGCCTGTAGATGACCCACTCTCGAAGACTGCAGCCATTCAGGACACCATCATGACTGATCAGCCAGCAAGTGAGGAGGGTTCAGAGAAAGTTGAGCTTGAAAACCCTTCAGCGAATGACCCTACCAGCACTTCAACAATTGCAGAAGTCCAAGACTCAACGAATTGTTCGCCAATGAAGGCCAAAGAAAGTCGGCTGACCGAATCTATAAGTACTAGCGTAACTGCGATAGTGCCAGACTCGATCACTGCGCCTCCCGTAAAGGCTATACAGGTTCTAGCGAATGACTCCCAAAGCACTCCACCTGCTATGGAAGGCTCAAAATCACAAACGACACCAGCGCCTGAATCACAACATCGTCGATCCAAGCTTGACATGTCTGGCGCAAAGCGTATGCTCTTTGGCTCTTTGGGTCTTAAAACACCAATGACCAAGGACGATGAATTGAAGACGCGGGAGAAGCTGATGAAAGATGTGAGGCCTATCAAAGATTCTCAGGTCGACGAAAATTTCGAGACAGTCGAAGACATTGCGGCTGCAGCAGAGGATGAGAGCTGGAAAGACAAGATCGATTTGCGAGCCGTAGAATGCTGTTATGAGGGGATTGAGCTGAGCACGCCGCCATTTCCTTTCGTTCAGAGATGGGACCCTCAACAGCAGAGAGGATATAACACGGGCAATGCGAAAAAGCGGAAGGGAAAGAAACGAAAGCGTAACAACGATGACTACTACGAAAACAGCTCTTTCCATCCACAAGACAAGGTTGCACATCGCAACAACCAAAACAGTTACGAAGACATTTCCTATAATCTACAAAACGCATCCGTGCGTCTCAACAAGGACGACTGGCCTAGACAGGAGGCAGAACGAGAACCATCGACAGAGAAAGCCCAGGCGGAGAGCAAAAGCCAGGAGCGCTCGCATGATGAGAGTCTTGAAGATTCCATCAGAGCTAATGAACAGTTACGCCACGAGACCGAAGACGCCTCTGCAGATATGCTTGTCGAAATGGAAAGGCTATACGACCTGACACATGACTTTCCCGCTCTGCCCGAAGACCTCTCTACATGTTCATCCTTGACTCCAGACACAGCCGCGAAAGGAAACATTGTTGCCTTCAAACAGCTTGAAATGTCGGCAGAGACCAACTGGCAGCCCAAAATATCGGAATACCGAACGGCCATTGTCGACGAAATCTTGGACGACGGTACGCTATTAATGACGCTTGCAAAGCGTGACCAACCTTCGAAGGATATACAGTACGACGAACAAACTGGCGAACGCCTCTACACCAAGTTCGAGATGCCGGGCTATCATGACGAACATGGCGGAGACGATAATGGAAAGATTGAGATTTCGTTCGACGAGTTGATTAGCCCAATTCTGGTTGAGGCTGCAGGCGAAAATGGCAACCAGGATAATGTGCGGCAGGCTCAAGACCTTATCGTAGCCCATTCCGACTCAAATGATAGGACCGTTACTGGAGAAGCTCTCGATACAGACAGAGTTCCGCAAGGCGTTGGTCTAGATGGCCCAATTCAAGAAACCTCCCACAAGGAAGCTGCTGAGCCGAGCGAAGAAACTCGACATGAAATCTCCGAGCTGATCAAGGATGCTGGATGGCGGTCGAGCGTAGCAAGTCATGAATTGATTGACGGGCAAGATGAGAACCCTCTTAGCCAAAGAAACGACCCCAATGAGGATGCTGTTGTGGGCCCACCATCGCCGAAATTTCACGGTTTCAGCTCCAGCCCACTTACCAATGGATTCCAGGTGGCATCATCGCCACCGCCAGCAGCGCTTCAGACGTCAAGGCATGTACATGCTTTAGATATTGAAATAGCTGAAAGCGTCCCTCTTCAAGGTCCCGACGAGCCACCCGCTCGCTCAATCATCTCAAACCCTAGATCCGCGATTGACTACCCCAATTTACCAAAGATGAATGACGACACCGAAGTGTTCCAGCAAGAAGCCCAGGATCGCTCGGGCCTTCTAGAAGCAGACCACCAGATCGCGTCTCAAGATCTCACCGCGCCGAGTAGCATCCGTGGAACCCCATCTCAAAGCATCGCATCTCCTACTCTAACGTCGCTTGAAAGAAGCTCTCCGAAACTGGTCAATGTATTTGACGGGGCTGACTCTGACGAATCATTACCAGAGTTGTTTTCGCAAGCTTTCGAGAAACGACTGTCACAGGGAAGGGAAACCAAACCACAGCACGCAAAGGAAGATCCTATTTCACCCCCGAGTCGTCGCAAATTCAAGCGCAATAGCAGGACCAATCTATCCCAGAGAGAATCTAATCGTGATTGGGAGCCTGATCACTCCGAGGGTGAGCATGAGGATGATGATGCGAGCACGCCGCGCCCATCGCAACCCGATTTTTCTTCTCAAATTGTTGACTTGACCATCTCGAGCGATACCGTGGATCCTCCAGACGACTCATACAATGATGACGATGACTTTGTTTTACCAACGGGGCCAGGATGGGTGCAAAAATCTAGGATAAGCGAACCTCGTGATAGCCCCACAAAGAAAACCACCACAAGAAGTTCGATGAGGAGTAGGTGATAATGTGTGCATGGGTGAGAAGGACAACATGCTTTGGCTCGGAAGAAGTGAAGGCATTCTATCTACATCGATAACATGTTACTGTTGCTCACCATGTAGGTTTGTTTTCAAACGTAGAGTATCGCTAGGTAGTCGGTAGCTTCATGGCAAACCATGTAATAAGGCATCAAGACCAACCTATGTTGCCAACGTAAAATTAGGAGTAGTTGCCAAAAAAATGTTTGAGCGTACCATCCGGATGTGGTTGTTGCACCGTACGTTATTCCTTTGTCGAAACTTTTCAGCACAGCCCGCCTCGTCCGCACTTCTTTCTTCCTATAAGGCAGTTTCGGCAGTAATCATGCTCGCTCCTGCAAGTGCCAAGTCGCAGTCGCACGATGCGCTGTCTCTTCTTGTATCATTATACTCCCTAAATCCATCAAGTGAAAGGCAGACCTTAGTCGAAATCGCTGATCAGTATGTCCGTTCGGATACAGCTCGACAAGCCTCAGGGCGCCTTTACAAATCTCGACCAGATTAGCGGAGTGGTCATCCTGAGCATACTTGGTCCCGAGACTGTTTCTGCAATAACCGTGAAACTCGAGGGGGAGAGTAGATCTCATCTAGCGGGGAATATCAATCCGCGACGCAACTATGACGGCTTCGAGAAGGAAGGTTCACGACAAGAGGTCCACAAGGTAAGTGAGTGCTGTTGGACTGCGTCTGACAAAGGACCATTTTTCTGATCGGCTTCATAGCTTCTCTACAAGGTCCTTACTGTCTTTCCTACACCGGATCTCCTAAGGGCAACAGGCCCGGATCAGGCCTATACCCTACCATCGGGTCCTCATGCCTACCCTTTCCGGTTCAAGGTATGCTCCAAGTTGTAAAACGTTTACCGCTTTCTAATACGAGGGTCAGGTCCCTTTCAACAATGACTGCTCCAACAACAACTCCTTGCTTACAAGCCTCAATGCCTTGCGTTTTGAAATGGCAAGAGATACGAACAAGCATGTGAAGAAAACCCTTCCACCTTCTCTCAATGGACTTCCAGGAGAAGCAGAAATACATTACTACGTGAAAGCTACGGTGCAGCGACCGGCGTTCTATAAGGAGAATTTCAGAGCAGTATGTTGAGTCGTTTATTTGAACAAGCCAACGAGCCAGGAAGAATTTCACGACCTCTTACTGACTCCGTCGCTAGACCTACCCATTCATATTTCTTCCTATCGAACCACCTCGACCCTCTCCCAACAAACGAGAATCGTATGCTAGAAGATCCCACCAGTTCGGTCCAAGTATTGATGTGCCTGAAAAGCCTGGCCTCTTCCGGAAGGCGTCTGTGGCAACCACCGATCCATCAGTCCCGGAAGTGCCACCTCCGAGCATCAGTATTGACGGTCGCTTGCCTGATCCAGCCATCATCACCTGCAACGAAGCGCTACCCCTACGGATACTAATTACCAAGAAGAATGAGACTCCAGCAACTATATACTTAAGAACGCTGAGTATCATACTTGTAGGCTTCACTGTGATTCGAGCCCACGAACTACGAAGGCAAGAGGCTCAAAGCTGGGTGATTATGAGCCAAGCCCACATAGACAAGGCTCTAAACAGCACCGTTGGCGGTAATGGCAACAATATTTTAGAGGTCGACTCAAACCTGTGGAAGCAGCGCCCTTTGCCAAACACGGTCTCACCGTCATTTGCCACATGTAACATATCACGCCGCTACGAGTTGGAAGTCAAGGCTGGATTGTCCTGGGGCTCTGCTCAGAACATAAACGTAGGTCTGAATCCATTTGCGTCGCAGGATCTGCTGATAGCCCGAAGCCTGAACTTACAGTACAATCCGTTCGAATGCCTGTAGAAGTCTATTCTGGGATCGCTCCTCCCCAAGCCCTGCTCGACCAAATGGCGGATCGACCCACTGCGCAGCCTGCTTCAAATTACAACCTTCGCCCACCTGGTTCTGCCAATGGGCCTTCCACTGGGCACTCTCCCGGACCTTCTCGGCCTCATGCTCAAGCGCAAAGCGATCATATTGAGCCTTCTCCGTCAGATATTCCTGACGAAGCACCTCCAAGCTATGAGGATGCAATGGCGGATGATCTAGCACCGATCGATGGACCAAGGCGAGACTATCACCAGCAGACAACCTCGGCGCCAACTGGCAGCAACGGCACCAGCGGTAAAGGGTCTGCGAGTGACGACAGGTTGTTTCCTGAGAGCAGGCGATGATGGACAAACAGTTATGAGAGTATTGATTAGCGATTCAGCGTGTCTTGTAAGGGCCGAGAGATGAGAATGGCAATATGAACCTTAGTGAGACATGAAAATATGAAAGCTTTATAAGTCAATCCAGAGACGAGCAGTGAGGTTCACTTATCATTACAACGTCTATGATTGGCTGCAATACTAGCGCCCGCATTATCGATTAGGGCTAGCAGCTGGAGGTGCCGTGATGATGACGTTCATGAGCTTCTTACCTCATGGAGATGTTTCCGCAACTACTATCCACAAATCCACACTCTTTACATGCCACCCTTTCTTCGTTACACACCTCGAGTCGTCTTTCGTCGTCCTCCACGGCTCACCAAGTTCCTAGTATCAACAATCACCACTTCAGCTAGAACTATGGCACAAGAATACCAGATCAAGGGGCTCTCGAAGCTCGACCTCAAGAGCGGAGAGAAGCGCGAAGTGGAGGTTGAAGGAATTGAAAATGGCAAGGTCTTGCTGGCCAATTTGAACGGCAAGACTCATGCTATGAGTGCCAAATGCACCCATTACGGAGCACCATTGAAGTTGGGAGTCCTGAGCCCTGACGGAAGACTAACCTGCGCGTGGCACGGAGGTGAGTCCCCTCAATTGTGGTACCCACTCAGTAAAGGATTACTAACCATATATTCTAGCTTGCTTCAATGTCTCTTCGGGTGACGTTGAGGATGCCCCAGCTCTGGACCCCTTGGCCAAATTCGAGATTGTGGAGAAAGACGGAGGGGTATACATCAAGGGAGAGGAGAGCACGATCAAGGCGAACAGGAGGGCCGTCAATACCAAATGCAAGGCTCAGGGTCAAGAGAAGGTCGTGGTTGTGGGCGGAGGAAGTGGAGCAATGGGCGCCGTACAGGCCCTCCGAGAACAGGAATTCAAAGGCGCCATCACCATGATTTCAATTGAGCCCAGCCCTCCTATCGACCGCACCAAGCTCTCTAAAGCCCTCATGACAGACAAATCCAAGTTGGAGTTGCGTCCTCAGGAATGGTTCGAAGAATCTTCCATCGAAACCGTCTCGGACGAAGTTACCAGCGTCGACTTTGATAAGAAATCAGTCTCCACCAAATCCGGCTCTTCCTACCCTTATACCAAGCTCATCCTCGCCACTGGCGGCGTACCCAAATTACTACCGCTGCCCGGATTCAAGGAATTATCCAATGTGTTCCTCCTCCGTTCGCTTTCGAGTGCGCAAGCTATCGTCTCGGCTGTTGGCGAGAAGAAAGGCAAGAAGGTTGTCATCGTAGGCTCTTCCTTCATAGGAATGGAAGTCGGAAACTGTCTAGCCTCGGGAAACGATGTCACAATCGTAGGCATGGAATCTCGGCCCTTGGAGCGCATCATGGGCGCCGAGGCCGGCGAGATTTTCCAAAATCTCGTCTCGAAGAATGGTGTCAAATTTCACATGAACGCTGGTGTCGAGGCCGCCGGACCCTCCAAGGAAGATTCCAAAAAGGTCGGCTCGGTCACTTTGAAGGATGGTACAATTCTGCCTGCCGATCTTGTCATCCTTGGCACCGGCGTTAGTCCAGCTACTGGTTTCCTGCAAGACAACAAGGCCGTGTCATTGGAAAAGGACGGCTCTCTTCAGGTCGATGAAGGATTTCTTGTCAAAGGTCTAAAAGATGTCTATGCGATTGGCGATATAGCAACATTCCCCTATCATGGCCCCGGGAGCAACGGCAGCTTGACCCGTATCGAGCATTGGAATGTCGCCCAAAATGCAGGCCGCGCTGCCGCAAAGTCCATCGTCTCACCTTCCTCCAAACCAAAGGTCTTCATACCAGTATTCTGGTCAGCACTGGGCAGTCAGCTGAGATACTGTGGCAATACTCCGAACGGCTGGGATGAATTGGTCATGCAAGGTGAGCCGAAAGAAGGGAAATTCGCTGCTTTCTACGGGAAAGGTGACACCGTGGTGGCTGTGGCGAGTATGATGATGGATCCAATCATGAGCCAGAGTGCGGAACTGATGAAGCAAGGCAAAATGCCTGGGTTAGCAGAGTTGCGGAAGGGCGTGGATGTCCGAGACATCAAATTGCCCGGAGAGATCAAGATGTGAGTGGAGATGGAAGATCAAAGAGGATATGAAAAGCATGAGACGAAAAGGGAGTATTGTAGGTAGAGAAGAGCATATGATCATACGAGATACACGAGCTTTTGAAGAGCAGCCTCGCTCATCAAATATACATTAGTTTTGAAGCCGGTTGAGACTTGTGTAAAACTACAAATGCTCCACCAACCAAGCTCGAGTCAAAGAATTTCTACATTGACTCTTCATGTACGACAGGTAGCAGTCCAATCCTTCTCTGTGGTCCCAAAACCAGCGAAGAAACTACAACAGAAGCGCATCCTCGAGGGACCGAGTATATGTAGAAGAGCATTCTCGAGGGACCGCGTATATAGAAAAGAGCACCGACTCGCAACCGTCCTCCTCTGCCAAAGCGAGCGAGCCCGAACGGCCTCCTCCGCCGCAACCCCTCCGACGACCCGAACGAAGTCAGCCGGATACCCGCGAGTTCGATCGCCACGTCCACGAGACTGCCAAAAACACGTGGAACGAGGACCCGAGCCACGGAGAGACTGTGAAAGGACGAGAAAGAAGGAAGGAAGGAAGGAAGGGGGAAAGAGGGACCCAAGCACGACGGCTACCCTTGAGCAACGATCCCGGCTCCTGCGCCCCAGCAGCCAGGATCGAGACGGTATGCCGTGCGGCTAGGATAGTCCTCCACCGTTGGGGACCGTCGGACGACAGACTTCCGGAGCGACGGGGACCGGCGTCGACGGTGGGTGATGGCCGGATGATGCGGAAGCGGGCGCGGAGGCTTGATTGCAGGACGGGTCCGTTCGCTCGTTGGAGTGTTTTCCGTCGATGATGGAGTGCACCTGCTATTTGATCAGGGTTGATCGGATAGGCCGTGAGGTACCTTAGGCTCGGTCACGGTGTTGGCACGAGGACTTGTTCCTCGCTGAGGACGACCTGACGTTTCTGCCTGTCATAGGTTCCGTGGTCCGCTTATTCCGATCGATACCTACAAAAACGGTGCGCAGATGAGGAGTAAGAGAGCTTTTCTCCTGTTGAATGCTCATAATGGGAGATCCGACTCTGTCAGACCTTCTCACAACTACGAGGCTCGTCTTTCAGTCACACACACCCATTGGTCTCGTTCAGCGACCATCACCAGAACGTAACGCTTCCGCTCCCCACGGGTCCCGCAGTATCATCCAAGATGGTGATCGAGGTCTCAAACCACACCCGCAGTCCATCGAAAAACAATCTCGACCCTTCCAACGTGTCCGCCAGTATCAACCAGGTCAAGTCTTCCTGAGCGAGTGGGCGACTGATTCTGACATACAGCTTCGCCTCAGACCATTCGAAATTGGGCTGCGGCACAGGCCCATCTCCATGGGCCGCGACCACCGCCCGACATATTTGGTACTGCGCTCTAGCGATGAGATTGAGGAACGTCTCTAAGTGTATTGGGGGTCCGTATTTACTGAAGATTAGGGACGTGGTGGTGCCAGGGACTCGCATCTGGTACGGGTCAATTGGGTAGTCATTGGGGCTTTGTAAAGTTGAAAGGCTAGAGTTTAACGACCTGGCTTGTGTGGGCTATTTCTGTGGCTGTTTACTTACCTTATTGCCGGTCCTGACACATTGATTTTAACTGGAAATTGTAAGGCTGACGTCTTATTGACAAGGGAATCGCTTTCGGGGCTTAAGGAGACGGAAGGAGATGGGGTTGCGGTCTCAGTGAATTTGATTAATTCAAAAACAAGAGCGAGCGAGACTATGATCAACACCTGCATTCTGTGAATGCTTCCTTTTGGTATTGATCTTCGTTGAAGTTCAAGACTACGAGTTGCAGAAGAGGGTTTGTCAAAGTCCATGCCGTCTATGGGTTGACTGGTGCGCTCCACTTATACAGCCGAAGTCGCGACATGCAGTGATTGCATAGAATAAAGACAGATTCGAAAAGTACGGTCCGAGCGCATCGCGCCTGGATATCACAAGTCCATAGGATGAGCAACCCGGCAACTTCGAAACCGCGGGATTAGTTGCAAAAGAGCTATAGCTGATGTAGGTCCAAAGCCGAGGGTACGGAGACGAATGGTCGATTCGAATCGCTTCTGGCAATCCCGTCAATTAACGCGGGTATTAACCTTTTGCTGCATTTTCAGAGGCGTCGCGGACCACGTGCATGTCGAAGTTGATTCAAACAACATAAGACATCCCGGTATTCTTAGTGGGGTTCCGGCGTGAATACGTGGAAGGAGTCGTACGAGCTCGCACTATGGCGGTGGGGGTCTCTACAGCCGTGTTGACATGGAATAAGTGGGAAAGCAGCTTTCTGATGTCTTCCTTCCAGAGGAAGTCTGCCCAAGAATCCAAAGATTACAAGCTCGATGCAGTGCCCACTTTGTTCCTTCTGCAGAGGATATCAAAAAAACCAGAGTCGCAGTTGATGGAGATAAGCTTGAATTCGGAGCTTGAGGATGAGATGTTGAGAGTGGAGAGGTCTTAGACGCCCCCACCAGCCCGGCTCCCCCACGTAATTTTAGTTCCGTGGCCCGTGCCGTCGTTCCAGTTTCAGATCTTCCCACCAATCCTTTAAGCGACGTATGGATGGAGTATTGACAGAGAGAGACCGTACCCACAGAATTAGGAATGGAAAATATTAAGGAGCGCAAAAAAGATGATGCAAACAAACGTTTCAGCTGGGCAAAGTATTGCTTCGGAAGGTGGCACCACTGGTAGGGCATTTTCCAAGCGGCAGCTGACCATCGAATCGGTTGGAAAATTACCGGTCAATACGTTGATCTTACTGTTAGACACTTTCCACGTTTCAGGCGCAAAAAAATGCTCAAGATTCGGAGCCCATTCATCATAAGAACCCTAGCTGTTCGTTAGCAGTAAACGTTACTTTCCTGCAATGTTGTAGACGGAGTCCTGTGTGAAATTTCATAGATTGCAAGCAAAGCTAGATGGGTATCAAACGTCAAATCACGCTCAAGTCGAAGGGGCCGTCACCCTTCCAGAGACTCCTGAAGCAGCGTCTTATCGATACTCACTGCTTCCACATGAGTCGAAAGCCGCTTCTCTGCCTTCCTACCACGAACCGAGTCGCCTTTCTTCTTGTCTATGCATCTCTCGTCGACAGCAGCGCTCAAAGCATCTATGGCTCGAAGGTTACCACTCGATTTGGTGGGAGCATCGCCCCACTTGCCAAACATCCACCCGCCGACACGTTTACCCAAAGTGGACTTCTCAGCTGTGGTGGTAGACGCTGGCGTGGCCGGGCTCGTTGAAGCATGACTAAGAAGCAGGCGATTGTAGTTGCTGCTGTCATAGCCCCGATCGCGTTTGGATGCCTGAGCGACGGCAGCGGTGGAGCTTGTCACAGGGCCGATAGAGGCGACAGACGGGCCGAGTGAAGATCGAGGATTGAAGCCTTGCGAGTCCTTGCTTCGTAGTTTGGGCATGTCGAACCCCGGGCTTGGTAGTATGCTTTCGTGTGACGAGGCTCGATGCAATCGAGGGCACATTTCTTCCAATTGAGAGTACGTCTGTCGGGCATTTCTGTTGGGGTCAAAGTGATTATCCAAGAAAGAAATCGTGGTGTCATCTTCTGGCTCTTCTAGAATGGTGCTGTGCTCTGATGGAGGAAATTTGACAGTCTCCGTAGACTCGTCCATGCCATATCGGTTCGCGGCCCGCAGTACCCCTGATATGCTTTGGAGTACGCTAGACGATGTTTGTGCAGATAGACTCCTCGTCGAGACGTCTGAGTTACGGTTGGAATATCGGGGGTAGATAGTGGGCGATCCAAGAGCGGTAGACCCGGGTGTCGTTGGTCTTGATGAGTACATGTTATCATCCATGGTGTCAAACACCGAAGAGTTCCTGAACGCGGATTGAGGAGAGCTTGGGAAAGACGAAGGAGCGTGCGAGGACTGCGATGACCATCGATGCGACTGAATGGGAGGAATAGTGACAGATGTTTGTGATAGGATAATTGCAGCAGAGGAGCCTGCTGTGACTTGCATAGAGTGAGCGCTGGGTGTTCGTGGTGTGTGAGGCGTCTGAGTACCAGAAGACGGTGTTCGAGATCCAGGCGAGGTAATGTTCCGCCGCTTCTTGGTCCTTGCAAGTCCAACAGGCCTTTCTCTAGCAGTCTTGACTTTCGGTGCGGCGTGATAATGGTGGTGAAAATGGAAGTCAGGTGGGAGTACAGCCTCGTTTCCAAGCGTCTTCGCAAGCTCGTTATTCAGGTCTTCTCCGGATCCAGGTCGTTCGGGATGCGGCTGAACAGGCTGATGAAGCATCATTTGCTCTCGAAGGTTCTCTACCTCCTCATTCGAACCCATTAGCATCTCCCGCAGCTCCACAATTCCTAATTGCAAGTTGGCATTGTCCTGGAGGATATCCTTGACAAAATGTGAGACAACGCTGCTGCTTCGGTCAGCGCCAAGCGTAGTTGCGGCCGCCGCTCCTTTCAGGTGTCCAGCCGCGTTCTCGAGTTCCCTTTCGACAGCCCTCCGCCTTTCAAATCTCCTTACAACTTCAGCGTGCCTCAAGCGTTCTTCTCGCGCCTCCCTGTCTATTCGATCCACCTGTTCTTGTAAGGTACTGATAGTCCGCTCAGCGCCTTTCCATCGTTGTACCGCTGTTTTCTCCTTCTCTTCCCTAGACTTTAATTGGTGATGAAGGTCAGCTGCTTCCGACTCCAGACTTGCCAACTGTGCTTCGAAGTGTGACGTTTGCGCAGCAAGGACCGTGAGTCGCTCGAGTTCTTTGCGTGTAGATTGAAGCGTTGCATTGAGAGATAGGATGTGCGCGTCGGAGTTGGAGACCGTATCATTCATCTCTTCCAGCTGGTCCAGTAGGTAACGGTTCTCCTCTATTATCCGGGCATTCGAGACCTCCGACTCCTTCTTGTCTGTTTCAAGCTTCTCGATACTCCCAACCATCCTGCGCCGCTCCCCCGCCGCTTCAGCGATGTATGCCTCATGGCGCGCGAGCAGTGCCTGTAGCGCGAAGGTCAGCGACATGCCTATCAACGAGCCTGGGAGCGGTTTGCTCCCTCAAGCGTGCAAGTTTGGTACTATATAGCTGACATACGAATCACTAGGTGTTCAAATGCGCTAAGTCGCACGGGTCCTGAAAGGATTGTTTCATTCGAAGGATCAAACACGATTCCCAAAAAAGCATGCACCTACTTGGCCAATGCGCGCAGCATTTTCGAGCTGATTCTCCAGTCCTTCTAGAGCTGCATCATTGTGTCTGAGATAGGCGCAGTGCAGATTACCGCAACAGCAGCTTGTTGGGCGCTCCCTGTTTCCTCGCACTCCGCAGGATGATTGCGATAACAAGGCGTCAAGAGAAGAAGCAGCCGGTGATGAAGTAGCCGAGGAACGCTCCATGTTATTCATGATCCGTCACATTGGTAGGCTGAGCAGGCTTCTCTATGCGCATAGCTATTGTTAAAATCTTGAGAGGTCTTCATCGATAGGATAGGTGAGGGGTAAATGGGAGGTGAGGTGTGCGCATGTTTGAAGTTGAAGCGAAAGTCCGGCGTAACACCCCATGATTGGTCCAGCCACTGGTTATCTACTCGAAACGCCAAGTCATATGATGACGAATGAGAAGAGTGGGAGGGATCGGCAACGAAAGATTGTCGATAAAGATCAGATCTATAGATCGTAAAGTTTTTCTTTCTATCAATAGTACAGTATCATTACAATCTCGAGCAATGCTTGAGATAGGAGTCACAGTTTCCCACTTTCCCATTTTCCCAGGTTCCAAAATTTCTCCAGGCTTCAAGGATCTTTCCCCGCCACTTGCGAAGCACTCCTTTTGATACTTCTCAGCATGCACGCCGTATCCCCGTACCTCATCCATACCGGACCGTAGATACACACAGCCCCGAGCTAATGTCTTCGAAGCAGCATATGTTGAGTGACTTCGATGATAGGATGCGCCACTTTTCGCCTTTTCTTGCCTCCCGGGACAAGTGCGCCCTCCAGGTCTGGCAAACAAAGGATATCGCTGTTTTTCCAGTATATTTCTTGCGCCGTTGGCTTGGACACATCTTCTGATTGCGGAAAACATGGCCTCAGTCCTCGATCCAATCTTTCATCCCTCCCAATGCAGTATCAGCCCTTGCCCCTAGCTTTCTCCGGCCCTCCTTCACCATCATGCACCTGCTGCACCTTTCTATACTCTTCCTCCAGCGCCTTTTGCATCTCGAAATCCGCCTGCCGTTCTTTCTTGACCCGTTGTTGTTCAATGTCTCGTACCACTCCAGCATGCATTGCCTGTAGAACGTAAGCGGTTGATCAAGACAACCGGGCTAGAAAGTCCATCGTGGAAGGGAGGCTCACAGCTTTCTCGGAATTCTGCTGGTAGTGAACAAGCGCAACGACCGCAAAGGCTCCTATCGATGTACCCGCCAGCGTGAGTTTCGCAGCCCTGGACATGCCTGTGAGATCGTAGCGGTCGAGTGATGCAAAAGAGCGAAAAGGGTTTCGGCGGGATGCGATGGTGACGCTTGGCGGAGACAGGGATCTCGAAGCTCCGGTTCCACCACCTCGATCGCCAACTTTCTTTTGATATCTACGCACTCGTGGGCAGACAGCCGCAAAGATGGTAAAGCCGTGTAAATCTACGAGCTAACGACCAATTGCTGACCGTGTTGCAGTCTGCACAAAATTCCAAGGGTATCCAAACCCTTCTCGACGTAAGGACAGCTATCTGCCTCCCCAATTTGCAATTTCTAAACCTCTAGTAAAGGCCGAGAGAGACGCCCAGAAGATAGTCCAACAAGGTATGCTATCCAGGGCCTGTCAATACTTTTGTTGCGAATCTAATGACTATCTACAGCTCGAGAATGTATGCCTACAATACCCTCACCCTCTGATCATCAGCCCACCTAACCCCGACTCCAGACCGATCGAAACGTGTGAAAGACGCCAAGAACGAAGCGCAGAAAGAGATAGAAGACTACCGGAAGCAAAAAGATGACGAATTCAAAGCATTCGAGAAGAAGGTGCTTTCCCATTCCATACACTCCCTCGGTCACCCATGCTCGTAGTAAGCACAGCAGCTGATCGACGGACGATGGATAGCACACAAGCGGCAACAAGAAAGCAGAAGAAGACGCCAGCAAAGATGCAGAAGAGCAGATGAAACGGATCAAGGAGGCAGGGAGCAAGACGGGGGATAAGGTCGTTCAGGATTTGCTGAACGTGGTCACGGAGGTAAAGCCGGAGGTTCCTGATAGAGTTGCTGCGCCGCCGGAGGCATGATTGGCACAGAGTGTACGATGGTGTATCAAGCGGAGAATTACCACAATTGCTGGGGATATATGCTCTAGCTGTTATTGGGACATCATAGATCACAATGCGTTTTGTACGAGGTTACATGGGATCGAAATTTATGGTATTGATCATGCCTTCAGCTATAAGTTTGGGCCCGTAGCCCCTGAAAGTGTAGATGGGGTAACAATTTGGGTCCTGCACCATGACAATTTTTGAGAAGGGAGTACTACTGGATACATCCTTCAAAAGTGTCAGTGGGGGCCATTAAGGCAACGTCCGCACTTGAAGTCCGAATCTGTCAAGGTAGTAAGTAGTGTTGTTGCTACAGGTGGAGTTGATCGTGGAATATGTCGGTGCCGCGAAGGAGTTGGTCGCAGTACTGGGTGAGCCGTTCGTGGCTAGGCCTGTATCCGTTGATGAAACTGCTAAACGACTGCTGTTACTGCCTCCAGGAGTTCAGGTATTGGCTTTTCCGGCTCCAGTACTACCGGCGAATGCTCCAGTATAGGCGTTTCCAGGTCCAAGTTCAGCTGCAGTGTTAGTTGTGGGGGGATCAGCATGTTCAGATTGAACTTAACAACTGCTAGGAATTCCGGGATTCTCATCGTCAATTCCATGAATGCCGTACTTGAGGCAACAATCGTTGCCTGCCGATTGCGAACTTGCGGCGACAGAGGATGCACCACTTGCACCGTACAGACCCGCCTCGGAAGTGTAATCGGAGCAAGCCAAGAGACAATCCGCCAGATTTTCGGTCTGCAGACCAGAAAAATCGCTACCGTAGAAATCGAAGCCGCAGTCGATTTCGTAGGCGTACCCACCGGCCATGTAATAGGTGTGTTATCCTGAGCACAGGCGGGACTTGTTTCTGTCTGCAGAGTAGGAGTGGTGATGGCAATAGCTGTGCTGACATAGGTACTCGTAGCCACTACAGTAAATCCTAGTGAGTTTGTTGTCGTAATTTCGGTTTTAGCAGTCAAAGCGGTGGTGAAAGTGGTGATAGCACCGTTTGAGTTGGTGCTCGTTACGACCACTGTTGTAGTTCCGCAGGCTACGGAGGCCGGTATAATGGGATAGATCGAAGTCTCGATACCAGTGGTGACGGGGTGATTATGGACTTTTGTAGGCCCATGTTTCAGCGCCAAAGCGATTGTCGCTGCCCTCAAAGCCTGAGCCACTTGCACCTCCAGTATGAGGTACAATCACCGGTCCCCGCTTTTACAGTCTCGACTATCTGACCTAGGAAAGCCGTGGGAGCAAAAAGTCCAAGGCCCAAGAGAGAAACCCTCACAGTGACGGTGGCTGCGGAATAGGAAGGTAAGCCTTTCTGGAATCATGCGAAGACCAAATCAGAGTAGTGGACGTGCAACGCGTAAATTCAAGAATACTTAGAGCTTCTGAGATCGCGTGGATTGGCGAGATCAGATTAGTACAGGGACTCATAGAATGCAGATACATCGGCGGGGTCTCATTCTGGAGCCGAGAGGCTTCCGACACAGCGGCCAGGAGCATGATGTCCTTATCATGAGACTACTAGACCTCGGTCATTGTGACCAATTTTGGGAAGGCGTACCCTGGGTGATGGACGTCTCACACCAATTGTTGTCAGAGATGACAGGGTCTTGCCGTACTTGAAAAAAGCGAGGAGCCTGTCGGTGACTTGAATTCGCTGCATTGCGTTCGAGAAATGTTTGTAGACAGCAGAGGTGATGTTCTGCGAACAGTGCACGATTGTACGAATACGAGTACTGTCAACCCTCGATACACGCTAATACGCGCGCTTGGCAAGGCTGCCGCTTCTGGGGCGACAGTACCTTACTTTATGTGATTAACTAATCCCCTAGCGCCTCAGTTCTCCAATGTCCAAAATATGCTAGGGAAAAGTCGACAGTTCTCTCCTCATAATACTCGAGCGCTCTCGAGTCCTCTGCATCGAACAAAAGGGCTGCTTGCTTCAGAACCCAGTCCTTGTCGAACAGTGATTTGATATTGAAGGGTTCGACAGTGAAGGCATGGACCCTATCTTCGTGACCTCTTCGTCAAGGCTCGGTACAGGGTTGCTCATTTCTTAGACTTGGAGCATGATCCGGCCATGTTCCCACGCGATTGCATATCGCTTTTGATACCTCACGCCATTTTGTGTGGCTGTACGGAGGTCCGTCCCAGCCATCTGGCTTTGAACAACATACTGGTCCACGAATTGTCACAGCTGAATTCGAACGTTTTAATGTCAGCGACTGAGAACGAGCTATGCTGGCGAACGTAGCGCAGGGTAGCGACGTCACAACCGGGTCGGGACATTCACGCTATGCGTGGTACTCTCCAATTGAGCTGCTCAGGACGGTCAGCATTAGGATCAATGACTGTAATGCCGATGACCCGATTGAAAGTGCCGTCATTGATTCGCTCAACAATAAGATCCTTGGTAAGGTGCTTGAAGGTCTCATCGGACGTACCTGTACCAGGGGATGAAAACTCTAGTCGATTGAGCTGTCTGGATTTTAGGAGGCCCGAAAATTTATGACCATAGGCCCCAAGAGAATGCTCTGATAGGGGTCCTCTGGACGCAGGAGGCCATACGATGTAATTATTCTCTTCGTATCATCCAAGAGAAGCGGACACCAGTAGATTCCAACCCAGCGTGCTTCTGTAGACGAAGCCACTTCTTACTTCGGGAATAGGAGACCCAAGAAAATTAAAGAACGTGAAAAGAGATAAGTCGACAACAAAGAGAATTCGCGTATTGGCAAGCGCGACTGGTAAGGCTGATGATTAGACTTTCTGATTGGCTAAGATCCGCCAACGTCAAGTCTCTGCCGACGATCCTTCTACAATTGAGTCATTATATTGTCAAGTGGCAAACTCGGACAACGACCCGAGCACAAGAATAGCAATTGACGTCTGTGTGGGTATGATGCGTGATTACGAAGGACTCAGTCCTACATTGCTTCCGAGACTCTGCCTCACATCGCCTTCTAATTCTAAGTCCTGACGTCCCAGACGCTAGTGTTGCTGCCTGCAGCTCTGTCGCCTTGCGGCTTCAACAGTGTAAATGGTATCAAGGCGAAAAATGACTCAATTGATAACAGTAAACGCTCATGTGACTGCTGATGCCCAATGAAAAAAGCCTCATTTTCAATTCTTCACTCATACCTGCATTGACCGGTCGATGCATTCATCCAATGCACTGCCCCATGGTCACGTTGGTCCCTTAAATAGTTCCACACCAAATCATTCCTCCCCAGTCGTACCCTTGGCATGATCATATGACGCAGTCGATGATGCCGCCGCTCGATGTTGAGATGAGAGTGAAATTCGTGTTGTCGTAGAAGAAGGCCGTCAAGCACAGCTGTGCGGTCGTTCTTGTCGTGAATCCGTAGGAAAAGTGAAGCGCAAGGGAACTCATTCGAATGGATAGTCTCACAGTTCTAAGGCAGGGGGCTCGCGCCCCCAAGAACGCTTGTCGATACCCTCTGCCATCTTCTCTCCTCGTTGCCCGTTTGATTGGCAATGCTGAATTGCGTGGTCCTCCAGAACTTCCATGCTGTCCAGAATGTTGAGCTTTCGTCACCGACGAAAACTTCCGTCGGCGTTGCGTCCGCCGGTACTGCCGCTGGCATAACCAGAGTCAGGGTAGTTGTATTGTTGAGAGGATGCGGAGCGGGAGCCGTTGACCGTGTGTCTCGAACACGTGTAGCCGACTAAGACCTCCTGTGTCTTGATGCTGTGGCCACGACGGCCATAGGCGGGGCAGGCATCAACAGCATGACTGTAGTAGATGCAACGACAGACTGCGTAGCGTTCGACTATCTTGATACACATGATGGCGGCGGCAACGGTAGTGGCTTGTTGTGTTAGAGTTGACTGAAATAGTGATCGATGATTGTGAGGGCACTCGTTGTCTTCTTAAATTTGGATTATGCTTATGGTATAAATGGTACTGATGTGGCAAAATGAGAAATAAAGACAAATTTATGGAATCAATGAGAGTGAAGACGGAAGGCGATGACATAAACAGATGACACAGAGGAAGTAGTATCATGGGACAGTCGGATCTATATAAAGTCCTTGCTATATAGAGGGAGTTAAAAATGTGCCACCATAGAACTTGGGCACACCAGGCACCGAAGATACTAGGCATCTGCAAAATCCATCGCAGTCCCCGAGAGGAGGACGGGCACAGTCCGAATATCAATGCTTAGATACGAAATCTAGAAGTGACATATAAGGTCAAACACGTACAGCCCCGAGGCTCTAAGGGAATAAGTAGTCCAGGGTTCTTAGCATGATTCCAACATCCTGTGGAGCCAACCATTTCAGCTCGCCTGGGTCAAGGAATTCTCCTAGCCATAGGCAAGCCAAAGCCGTGACTTTGGGGCCATCCAGTGAGAATAATTGCGCAATTGACTTACCCCCATTCATCGTTTGGTGCCGGAAGGATGCAGATACACGACAATCCTTCGCGCTTGAGCCATACCTCGTTCAGCCCGGTAGTCGGAGACCATGCCCCTAATGCGATGTGTTAGGGTTTCCGAAGTCTGACAGTGCGAACTTTTGTGACCCATAACTAGGGCACTCTTCGGTATTAGAATAGCAACATCGTAGCCTGCAGGAGGAGTAGTGGTCGTTGGACGAGGCTGCACCGCCATGCGCTAGAACCAGCAGGGTAAAGCGGTGTCAGATTACTCATCACTCCTGAAGATTATGGATTGATCCGTCCAGAGGCACCATATGATCCTCAGGCATTGTTGATGATATCAGGATGACATGGCTTGGCTCTCATGGATATCGCTCATTTTTGTCGAGATCAGGATGCGGATTCACCATCCTTCTGCTGCTACTTCCTTGGGCATCCGGGCGCTGCGTGCATCGCCGGAGGGCACGGAAAAGACGAACGTCTCAAAGTTTAGCTGACTGGACCTATCTGCGGAGTAGCAACTGTCATCTATAGCAAGGACTTTCAACAACTGTTTGAAATGTACTGTCATCGTAATGGTTGTTGTCGTTGTTCGTAGGATTGTGGGCGACATCTGCGAGCAGCCTTATCAACCGGGATTTGCCTTGCCCTTGCGCAGCCGTCTGCTCTTTTGGTGGCTCCTTCAGCCGCAGTGGAACTATTGCACCAACCATTTCCATGAAATGCTCAGTTGACGGCATACAGGAACCGCGCGATACTTTTTTAGACTTGCGCTTGATGCATCAACCGATGGTCAGCTGACATTATTGGTGTAGGGAAGACGATCTTAAACGCAGGTGCCGCTTAGCTCCATAGAATTCACCGGTTCAGCATAGGTAGCCTTTCCCTGCGTCGACAGTGAGATGTATCGGCGCCGCCGACGGATCTTCATCTGTCCAAACATCATCGTGCTCTCGAATACCTGTGGTTCCACGAAGTGCCTGGGAACGTATTCGTGTACAGAACTTGACCAACAAATGCCTAACTATTATCTCGGAAATGCCGCAATTTGGCAGCCTGGTCGCTCATCTAAGCGAAGACCCCCAAAAGGCAGAGAACAACGTCGTGCGGAACATGTTCTTCGGAAGCTGCATCGCGGGCTTTGGAGATGATCGTCGGTGTTAGCCTGACAGAAAGCAGAGAAAGTGTTGGAGAGGTAGAATCCCCCAGAACGAGAAACATACGTCTGTTGTGCTCTTTTTCACGAAGTGGACAAAAGATGCGATGTTGAATGATCCAGTAGGGCCATCGCTAAAGGTTTCGGCAAGTAAAGAATAAATGAATGTTATTGATACTTCTTGTAGGTACGTTTTCTCGTCTGGACTCACTGCTTGACTTCAATCCGAGATGTGCTGTCGTCATCACGTCCGCT